TGAGTCGGTGCTCGCCAGGGTGTGTCCATTGGTGCCCGTGCCAAATGTACGTATGTATGCATGCATGCATGCATGCATGCATGCATGGATGGATGGATGGATGGATGGATGGATGTGTGTATGTATGTATGTATGTATGTATGTATGTATGTATGTATGTATGTATGTATGTATGTATGTTTGTTTGTTTGGATAGATGGATGGATGGATGGATGGATGCATAAATGGATGGGTGCATCACATGTCCTGTATTGTGCTATATATTCCTTCATGCGCTGGTCTGTGATTCTTCAATCTGCTTTGTTCGACCCTAAACCCTAAACCCTAAACCCCGTAAACTTCAAACCCTGAACCAAAGTGCAGTCTGAGGCTTATCATGAGGCTGAGGTGCCGAGGTCCCGGAATGCATCCAAGTTCTCCCCACGGTTTAGGGTTTAGGGGTTTAGGGGTTTAGGGGTTCAGGGTGTATGGGTTTAGGATTTAGGGTTTAGGGAGAAACCGCAAACTTGAAGGTTTAGGGTTTAGGGATTTTTCTTCGGCTGTCGGGAGAGCTCAACCGTGCAAGCCTGTAGCCCAACCTGCACCCTTAAACCCTAAACCCTAATGCATTGGTCCCATTGGAAAAAACCCCCCTAAACCCTTGGTCATGTTTTTCAAGAGGCTGAGTTTCCCCTTTGCAAAGAACAGAGAAGTCGGCGGCTTCCGGTTGAAGAGCCCTTACTTGTCACTGCATGTGGGGTTTAGGGTTTAGGGTTCAGGGTTTAGGGTTTAGGGTAGCTTACAACAACCACAAGTTGGATTCGTGAAGATCCTCGCCGCCCACCCAAAAGCGAATCCAGAAGCATGAAAGAACTAAGCCCAGAACTAGTCGAGCCCTTTCCGAAACCCTCGCAGAAGACGTGGAGCATTTCATGTCGCCTTGTTGAAGGCCCCTTGCCTCAAGTACAAGGTCTCCCAATAGACTCCAAGACACGTCTTGTGGTCGCGGGTTCCTCATAAAACTACATAAACCTACCCCAGTACCCAAACGGAGCCCTTTGTTCCAGGGAATCTTAGATAAATTCCGCGACGAAGAGTGATTGCTCAGCCCCGCATGCTTAAAACCTTGAGCCCGGAAGTCTGCTAAACCCTCTAGCGTTCGAACCCCATAAGCTATGGTAAGAGGGGCTGTTGGGGAGTAACCGCCGAGCCTGAGGACTTGGTCACGGTCAAACTGGGCTTACATCCCTCAGAGAAGATTCCAAATCGACCCTTGGCGGCAATGGGTTTAGGGTTCAGGGTTCAGGGTATAGGGTTTAGGGTTCAGGGTTTGGGTTTAGGGGTGCTGAATTGCGCCCGCAAACCTTACCTAAAACCCTGACCCTAAGGCTCTAAGGACTCATATTTGAAGGCTTTTGGGCCCAAAGACCATACTACATATAGCTTTGGGGCTATTTTGAGCCTTAGGGTGAACCCCTCTCTTTTCCTGCGTCGTCGTGGCAGGCCACAACTGGAAGATGGTCTGGCTCGAAGTCCCAAACCCTAAATTCCTTATTATAAGTATAGTATAATATTTCCCCAAAGGCCAAAGCCCTATTAGAATGGTTAATAGGACTAAACCCCGAATCTTAGTTTGAGGGTTCAGCTTCTACTTTTCTGAACTCACGGTTTCTTCGTTCATCAGGATTTGGGCTGGCTTTCCAATGCTTGTTGAAAGCCCACAGCTCTCTTAAGAGAAGACGCCGCGAGCAGAGGCCGTGACGACATGGATCCTTTCGAGGCCGCGAGCTTGACTTCATATAGGGTTTAGGGTTTAGGGTTTAGGGTTTAGGGTTTAGGGACAATTAGAATAGGGTTTGGGGGTATATGTTCCTATGACTGTAATCAAAAACAACCCAAACCCTCTTGAACATACTAAGGCCCCTACATTAGCGTGCGAGGTGAATTTTGTTGCAGACAGTGACAGTCTCTGCATAGACACCGGGACTATAATATTGGAGCCTGAGCGATTACATGCAAGTACCCGTACTATTCCTGAGGGCTCCTTTTTGCAAGTATACTGCAACAGACCCCCAAACCTTATTCTGATTATGCGCTTTGTTTTGTGACTTATCCTCAGCACTCGAAGTAGGAGCATCGGCATCCGACTAGACCAACACATGAGCGACAGGGGCTTCTTGGCCTGTCTATTGTTTAGGGTTCAGGGTTTAGTGTGTCATGCGTAGGACCAGAAAAATCTTGAACTGCGGCGTGGTCCGTCTGTTCATGTCCGGTCCTGAGTTTAGCATCCGGCACTCCCCACAATGACTCATTATGATTGATTCATATTATGACGTTGTAGTCCGGTGATCCAGGCACTCATGTCTGTGTTTGTGCACCGCATATACGGCTAAGTCTGCGTATGCGCTTACATGTGGTCGTCGTATTAACATTGCGACACATACACACATATACGTGCATAGTTGTATGCAGTTTACGCCCACACATACCCCTGGGGGTTTTGTGTGTTCATGTGTTTATATGTACAATACACATGCATACATACCTACACACAAACAAGCATCCGTAAACGCGTAAATACATATATGCATACGTTTGGTTGGCATGCCCTGTATGTATAGGCTCCCCAGACCTTCCAAAATCCTCAATTTGGAATAGGATCCCTTCTATAATTTCAGGTATTTTCGTTAATTCTTATAGTACCCTTATAGAAACCCTTATAGATCCTTTTGAGGAACTCTAAAGGGACTTTGGAAGGCCTGGCAACTAGAGCTCCAGGGTCCAAATCCGACTGTCAACCTCCAAAGCTTGAGCCGCCGAAAGGGCAACGAACACACACACACACAGACACACACAGACACACACAGACACACACAGACACACACACACACACAGACACGCCCGCGTGCACACACACACACGCACACGCACAGGCACACGCACACAGCTACATGCAACACATACTAATGTGTATATATATATACACATATAAACATGCACTGATGTATGTATGTAATGTAATGTAGCGAGTGTAATGTAATGTAATGTAATGTAATGTAATGTAATGTAATGTAATGTAATGTAATGTAATGTAATGTAATGTAATGTAATGTAATGTAATGTCATGTCATGTCATGTAATGTNNTGTAATGTAATGTAATGTGATGTGATCTGATGTAATGTAATGGAATGGAAGAGAATATATTGTACTGTACTGTACTGTACTGTACTGTACTGTAATGTAATGTAATGTAAGGTAATGTAATGTAATGTAATGTAATGTAATGTAATGTAATGTAATGTAATGTAATGTATGTATGTGAATATATCTGTAACATAAAGCCTTCACCCCGTGTATATACATATAGATACGTTTGCATGTCTTTGCGCACATAGCAGGTGATGGTGCAGCGCCGTTCGTGCCGATCGTTTCAAGCTGCCGCTCGGGAAAAAACCCTAAACAACCCTAAACCCCTAAACCCGATACCCTAAGGAGATTCATAGTTCCTAAACCCTAAAGTCCTAAACCCTAAACCAAAAGGAGATTCATAGTTCTCCCTCCGAGACACTCGAGTCCTAAACCCTATACCCTGGAAAGCTTCAGAGCCCTAACATAGTGGCCTTAACAATTCGAATAGTGTTTTGGGCTTCCTTTAAAGGGTTCCTTAAAGGGTTCTGTAAGGGCTACTATTTCGGTTTAGGGTTTAGGGGCCTTAACAATTAGAATAGGGTTTCGGGGCCCATTCTACTATGGTTGTAATAAGGAACCTTCAAAGTAGTATCGGTAATTATTTAGGCCCCTACATTACTCATTATGGTTTATGGTTCTGGGATCACTGAAAGTCTAGAATCTAAATCTAAACAGAAAAGTTATCAAGTAGCTACACCCTGAAAGCCGCAAACCCAAAAGCTCCAAGCCTTAAAATCATACGACAAGGTTACAAGCTCTGAACAATCCAACGCCCCAAACCACAAAGCTGTAAACCACCATGAACCCGAAAACCCTAACCCTAAAGCTCTAAAGCCACAGTCCTAGACAACTAAAAGCCGCCACTCCCTAGTTGAAAGGACACCCTAAAGCATTTCCTTGAAGGAACGCTGTAGACTGAGTTTAGCAGTTTAGGGTTAGGGTTTAGGGTTTAGGGTTCAGCTATTGTACCTAATAACTCTATAATTGAAGGTACTTGTGACGCTACGTGCTCAGTCCCTGACCCTCCAGGTACAAGGAATCCTCAAAGGAGCCCTAATATAGGGGCCTTGATACTTACTATACTATTTTGGAGGGTCCCTTAGTATAGTTGTATAGTATACTATACCCTAAAACCTATTCTAATCATTAAGGCCTCTAAACCCTAAACCCTTATAGTAGCCCTTACCCTTTATAGGGAGCCCAAAGCCCTATTCTAATTAGTAAGGCCCCTAAACCCTAAACCCCTATAGTAGCGCTTACCCTGGGGACACTTTAGAGGGAGCCCAAAGCCCTATTCTAATTATTAAGGCCCCTACATTAGAAGGAACCGGAATCTCTTGAGGATCGGGACCTGAGGGCGTGCGACCTCGAGGAAATCCTTGAGGTGGTTGGGTTCTGGATTTTTGGGTTTTGGGTTTTTGGATTTTTGGGTTTACCCTAAACCCTAAACCCCTAAACCCTAAACCCTAAACCCCTAAACCCTAAACCCTAAACCCTAAACCCTAAACCGGTTGCGAAGGTTCTGTGTAGGGGGTTGGCTGTTCCTGCTAGTGGAGTTTAGGATTCAAGAGGTGTGGCGAAGGTGGAAGTCTGGCTTTCGTTTGTGGCTGGGGAGTTCTAGGGGTTGAAGCTCTAGATCCCCAAACCATAAAAAACCCAAAACCCCAAAGCCCTAAACCCTCAACCCCTGAACCCCTAAAAACCTCGACCCCTAAACCCCTAATCCCCAAAACCCTGAACCCCTACACCCGAAACCCCTAAAGCCCAAAACCTGAAAGCCCTAAACCCTAAACCCTAGACCCTGGTTTGGGATGCAGGGCTTCCGGTACTCCGAGTCCCCTGGGTCCAGCCGGTCGGAATTATTGGGTTAAGGGGTTCAGGGTTCAGGATTTTAGGGTTTAGGATTTAGTGCTTAGAGGCTTTAGGGTTTCGGGTTTTGGGTTTAGGGCCGGCTAGGGTTTTGAGCTTGACCTACACAACCCTGTACAACCCTTCAAAAGGCTCAGGGTGTTGGCTTTAGGGCTTAGGGGCTTGAGAATAAGCTACCATGATGGTGACCTATGGTAAACAATGTAGGGGCCTCAATCATTACCAATACTACTTTGGGGGGTTCCTGACTATAATTATAGTATAATGGGCCCAAAAATCTAATTTCTAATCATGAAGGCCCCGACATAAATCTGGTTTCTGATTACCCAAAGGGTCCAAGTTGTAGTATAGTATATACTTTGGGGGCCCAAATACCTACAAAGTAGCTACCATATTAGTACTTGAACCCGTTGGGTCATGGTAACTTGAACTAATTTCCGCAACCACAGCCCAGATTAGCGGCAGGTCGGCATCACCCGGTGCTGGGGTTCGGATTGCTCAAACCAACATCAATGAAAATAATGAACACAGTAGTAGTAATAATAACCACAGTCATAACATCAATAGGTAAGAAGAGGAATAATTTTGCGATAAAAGCCGAAATTACTACAATATGATTCCTCCTTGTCCATAGAAACAGTATTTCAAAGCCCCGTTGAAGTCCTAAGGACTTAAGGACCCTACAGCAGCAAGGTTTGCAGCTGAGAAGGGGGAAGGTTTAGGTCCCCAGGATCGGTCTGCAAGCTAGTGAGGGCCTGCTGCTTTCCAACTCCATCGGGTTTAGGGTTTAGGGTTTAGGGTTTAGTTGAGGGTTTAGGGTAGAGTCCCAACTATCTACACTATAACCCCCCCAATCCCTATTCTCATTACTGAGGCCCCTAGACACCCCACGGCCCCGTATCCCTCATAGAGTCATAGAGCCCAGTTGGAACCCAGATCATGCCGCAAAACCACAAACCCTAGACCCCGTGTTCCAATTATGGAAATGCAGGGGCTCGAATGCTTATCAAGAAAACTCCGTAAGGTTCCTTAATTACTTTCATATACCCCAAAGCTCAATTGTAATGAGTAAGGCCCTATTTGATTCGGCTGTTGTGCACTCGTTTTCAGAGTTTTCTGGGGTGAGGCCGTGAAGATTCAGACATCGCCGTCGCGGCTTCTCGGCAAGGCGCCCAGCAGCAGTCCACGGGCTCTGCTCGAAGATGAGTGTTTTTTCAGTTTAGAGTTTGGTCGGGCTAAGGTTTAGGGTTCGGTTCTTCCATGAGCCTGGATAGAAAGAAACCCCTGAAGCCGAAACTCTCAACAACAACCTGTTCACATCT